CCCGGGCACACCTGTGTTCAGCGCTGGAGATGAGGTCGGACTGAATGCTGGGGTGAGTAGAGCATGCTATCTTGTAAATTAAAGTGAAAATTAAGATTTTGATAAGTTGATAACTTGACATAATTTCACCTATACAGGAGAAACCTGAAGCAATGTGGGACCTGGAAAGTCAAGCAGAAGATGACAATGCAACAGCAAAGGTACATTTTCATGATCACATTTTCACGTTGCTATACATAGCACTCTAGTAATTGCACATTTAAAAAAAACTCTGTTTCTTTTTTTTGTTCTTTTGACTCGGACTGTACAGGAGGAACGTACCGCAGTGCGTGACTTCTTTAAAGCACTCAGTGATCTGAAAGGAAAAGAACGATCGCTTCTGCATGGAGAATATGTCAGCCTTTACAGTTCATCCACTTCATTAGCATTTCTCCGCCTTTGGGACCAGAGCGAGCGCTTCCTGGTAGCCTTAAACTGGGGAAATGACACTGTTACCATGACACTGACCAATAGCGACCTGCCCGCTGAGGCGCGAGTCTGTGCTTCCACAGATACAGAGAATCTAGCTGTGGATAGTAAGGTGTCAGTAGAGAAGTTAGAGCTAGGGCCGAAACAGGCTGTTCTGTTGTCTTATGCTTTTCCTGGCTAGACACACGGACACAGACAGTCCTTAATGTCTCAGATGGGTTTCAACACTGTGCACAGGTTTGGAAAGACTTTGTCTTTTGAGTGGAAGAGTTTATAGTTTTAATTGTATTCTCTAATAGGGATACTTTTAGGTGCACTAAGCTATGTGAAAGTTGTTACAGTTGATGTATAGGATAGAAGTTGATCTCCATACAGAGACATGTAGATCTAAAGCCCCTGATTTAATAATAAATGAAATGGCTACTGAAGATATGTTTTGTGTTTTGTTTTAAACTGTATCCACTTTATTGCACTGGTGCAGTTAATGCGTACAGTATATCAAACGAAAATGGTTCCCTCTTGAATTAATTTACTTTGTTGTTTTAGGACACAATTACTAATCATAATCTTAAAGCAGGAAAAAAATGGGTAAGAGAAGTGTTAAAATGAGCTAAATACAAGACTTTGTGTTTAAAAACAGTAAATAAAATCTACAAATACAATATAATATACAAAAAGAATCTTCCATGCATGCATTAACATTAACACAAAATTACATTATCATTCAAATGATTTGGATGACTAAGAGTTATTAATTAATTAATTAATTTATTAATTTATTTATTTTTTGAAAGAAATTAGTACTTTTATTCAGCAAGTATTAAATCAATTAAATCAATGCATTAAATCAATCAAAAGTGAAAAGACTTGCATTACAAAGACTTGCATTGTTCTATAAATTCCAATTTCTATTTTAAATAAACGTTGCTCTTTTAAAAGTTTTATTCATCCAAGAATCGCGAAGAAATGTATCATGTTTCCCACAAAAAGATGGTGGAAAGGCTCGAGGTGGTCAGTCCTTTCACAAACTGCCACTAGAGGGCACTTTATGTCCTCAACATTCAAGCCCATAATTAAATTTTGCACATTAATCAGCCAACTAAAAAAGTTTATAAACGTTTAACCTGGTTTTTACAAATCAGCAACTTTTTTAATAATGCAAAGAAATTAATGTAATTTGCCTAAAACGCCCATAATAATTGTTATACAGCCAAATTATATAAACCCAAATATAATTAAACAAAAATAATTGTTTTAGCCAACACTCATGTATCAGATAAAATAGTTTAAAACAGAGTTTCACTATAAATTGCATTGTAATTCATACAACCCTCATAAAAATAAAGGTTCTTTATTTTCATTGATGGTTCCATGAAGATCCTTTAACATCCATGGAAACTTTCCAATGCACAAAAGATTATTTTTAGTAGAAAAAGGTCATTTAGATTTTTTTTAAATGTTCGTCACACTAAGGAAAAATGTGTATTCATTTATTTTTTAATTTTTTAAAATTAAACTAAAATTGTCTCCAAAAGCATTATTCACACACACAGTTCTTACAGTACTTTACAGAAAACTAGTGGCCAGCATTGGAATGAAGGGCAATTCTGCATCTTCTCAAACAATACAATCCTACTGGCTCCTCAAAGCCTACAACAGTAACAATAAACAGACTTGGGGAAAAAATAGATAAAACCATCTGCTTGAGGTCTGTCATATTTTTTTCACGTCTTTGAAAGAGGTTCTGTAGAGCAGGATCAGACAGGCTTAGGAAGGTCCATCCAGACCCCTGCAGAGCATCTGTGAACCCCAGGACCTCATGCAGAGCGCAGAGAAAACAAACCACTCTCCTCAGACTCTTCCTCTTCCCCTCAGCTGGTATTGTTCATCTTAAACTGAGGGAAGGAGACAGAATAGCATGCAGGGAAGATGTGTCTTTGAGCATGTTTTGAGAGCTTTACAGTTGTGTTGGTTACACCTTCCTGTGCAGGAAAAAAAAACAGCTCTGCATCTGGTTCTATCTTGGATGTTAGGCGCAATGAAAGCAAGTATTCATGGGAATAGGTTTCTGTGACTTAGTAGTTATTCTGCAGTCATTGTATTTATTACAAATTACAAATTTGCTTTTCAAGGAACATTTTGGGGCAGTCGTGGCCTAATGGTCCACAATGACTTGTAACCCGAAAGTTGCGGGTTTAAGTCTCAGGTCCGGCAGGGATTGTCGGTGGGGGGAATGATTAACCAGCGCTTTCTTCCACCCTTATTACCACGACTGAGGTGAGACCCTTGAACAAGGCATCGAACCCCCAACTGCAATATGGCTGCCCACTGCTCTGTGTGTGTGTGTGTGTGTATGTGTTCACTACTGTGTGTGTGCTCTTGGATGAGTTAAATGCAGAG